ACATAGTCTAACTATACTACATTTATGAGCATCTATCTCTGTCTCTGAATTGTTGTGCACTTATCATATAAATATATTTTGATTTACCCCTGTTCAGAGTAAGTGCTATTTAGGTCATTGCAGATCGACTCACCAAGTCATCACACTTCATTCCTGTGAATACCACCTACTCATTCTCCAAGTATGCTAAGTTGTATCTCACCAAGAGAGTGTATTTGCATGGAGTGCCTAAGACTATAGTGTCAGGTCAAGGGCCAAAGTTCACCGCTAAGTTTTGGGAGGCTTTACACCTTGCGATGGGCACTACTTACTCTTTAGTACAATTTATCATCCATAGACCGGTGGACAGACCGAGAGAGTAAATCATATTATTGAAGGTATGCTTCGTTCATGCGCTACCATGTATAGTGGAAGTTAGTACATATGCTTGCCATTTGCATAGTTTGCTTACAATAACAGTTACCAAGTAAGCATCAACATATCCCATATGAAGCCTTGTATGGTAGAGAGTGTTGAACTCCTTTGAATTGGTAGGAAGTAGGAGAACGTTGTCTCTATGGGTCAAAACTAGTACAAGATGCCGAAGAGAAAATGGACCAAATCCGCAATAGCTTAAGAGCAGCTTAAGAACGCACTACAAGGGTATGCCGATGACCATAGAAGAAAGATGGAATACCAAATTGGCAACTATGTGTATTTGAAAGTTATAGCTTTCATGTGGGCACCAAAATATTTCAAGTGAAAGGCAAACTCGCTCCTAGATATGTTGGGCCTTTTCCAATATATACTAAGAGAGCAGAAGTAGAGTATACACTTCCGCTACCAGATTCACTCTTGGGTATTCATGATGTATTGCATGCATCTCAACTCAATCCAAGTGCCTATCGACCAACTCCAGTTGCAAGACATTGAATTGGATCAAAATTTGAGTTATAAGGAAAATCCAATTGCAATTCTAGACTTTTCAAAGAGAGGCAAGAACAAAAATCATGAAAATGGTGAAAGTGCAATGGAGCTGACATTTAGTAGAACTAGAAGCATGCCCCGCACGTTGCTGCAGGATTTTCTTAAAAATAAATCTTTTATATATAGTATTACTATATGGTATTCTATATATTGTGTATATATATGAAATTGAATTGCATATTATTTTATTATATCGGATCTGGTAAAAATCGGTAAGCTAATAGAAGAAAAACCAATGGAATATTTGATCACATTATAGAAGATAGGTGATGAAACAAATAACATATGTGGATGACTTTATGTTAATAGGTTAAAGATCAACATAATAGAGATGATGTGGACATTTTTTGTAATTAATAAGGGATGACAGGGATAGCTTGCATGAAAGGATTGCAAGTTAGGAGGACACTTAGTGGGAAATGACGTGGACATCTTGCATGAAGAGAGAAACAATCTAGTGGGGTTTAGCTTTATAAGAGTTTAAGATAAGCTACTTGGGAATTAGAGAGCCAAATCCGAGACAAGTACCCTCATCTTTTTAACTCAAGGTACAAAACTATAATTTTTGGGCTTTGCGTTGAATTAGAGTTAAGTTGTGCGGAATAAAATAGGTGTTTTCCTTAGATTTTCAATCTTGATCCTTATACTTGACCTTTGGAGAATCTCGAGGCACGATTCTCCCAAGGGGGAGGTTTGTCACGACCTGGTTATGACCAACGCAGAGTCATTGACATCATGAGCATCATTAGCATTTCAAGTCAATTTCAGAAAACTTGCATACAAAATTTTGCATTTTTTGGGGTCTGTTATGCACCCATTCATAACTGGATGCTCTGGAATGCACAATTTTAGACTTGTCGTTTGCACGAACACATGTCCTACCAGATAGTCCGACACGTCCCACCAGACAGTCCACTAGAACACTGCCAACACAGAGTTGAGCTATCCAGCTCTGGACACTCGTGACCCTACTTAACAGGCCACCTGCCCTCATCCCAGCTCGAGTAGGAAACTAGAGAGCTCACTGTCCACTATCACTCTCACTCACTATCTCCCCTCTCTCTCTCTCTCTCTCTTGTTCTTTCCCTTCTCTTTAGAACACCAAGGCTAGGAGGAGGAGGATTTGGAGGGAAGGAGCAGCAAGATGATAGCCATGAAGATGATCTAGGATCTCCCCACAAGAGTTTGTTGGAGGTAGAAGGGGAAGGATGCCCCTCCCTCTACAAGAAGAAGAGGAGGAGGATTTAAGAAGAAGAAGGCCAAGGGAGGAGGAGAACAAGTTGAGCTTCACCCACACCGCCAAGAAGCTTTGTTGCGTCTTATTCACGCCCTTGGTAAGATCACTCACAAGCACAATCACCTAGAAAACCTAGAAGTCAAGATCTAGCTAGTTCATCACTGAGAAAGTCGCCAGGTTTTGATGAATGAATGCAATGTAGCTCAATCCACCTAGCTAGATATGCTCTATAGAACCCTAGGAACACCCCCGCAAATTGGTTTAAACATCCAAGTGGATTTCATTTTCGAAGTCCCAAGAACACATAAACTGTGTTCTCACAGACGGTCCGACACACCCGGACAGTGCGTGGGAGCACCTTCACTTAGAAATTCTTCACAAATACACCAATGTTCCATGGTATGGTCCGACAGATCAACCGGACGGCCTGAGGAATTTTTTGTAGAAATCCAACAGTACCAAGTTTGGAAATGCATGCTAGTACGGTCCACTCGTTCACCCGAACGATCCGCCAATACACACACTTAGATGTTTTCTACTCAGACTGAACCTTACACTTCTGAACAGTCCGGCATAACCCCCGGACCATTTCAACAATTCACTCTCTAGATTCCCGAGGCTAACATGATTGTCTATTCTAAACACGACCACACACTCTATTGAGTCTCAGCCGGTGAAAACAAAACCCCTAACATATACCTTTGCCTTCGGACTTGTTTTCACCTCTTCATCTTCTCTCCAAGTGTGAGCTTGCCCCATTTGGATTGATCACCCTTCATCCAACTTCTAGCCTTGCTCTCCATTTTGGTGTAGACTTCACTTATAATCAACACTTCAAAAGGTTAGTCCACTAGTAATCTCAATTACTGAAACCAAACATGGGACTTTTAGCGTGCTATGGCACAGGGCTGTCGGAGCCTGATGCGCCTTCAGCCACCATATGGTTTGAGGGGGGATGAGTTATTAGTTATGACTTGTTCAATTAATTTCCAATCCAAGAGGATTGAAGAAGATTGAGAGATTTTTAGATGCACTCGTACCTCAATCCATATGTGTTAAAGTGGATTGGAGATGGAAATTAATTTAATTTCCACTCCAACATATGTGGATTAAGGTAGGTACGAATGCATCAAACAAGGCCCTAAAGGAATTTTGACTTGAGGGCTAAGTGTGTGTTGTATATTCCTGGATTTGGTTAAGGTAGATACGAATGCTTCTAATCCACATTTGGATTTGGTTAAACCCTGCCCACCACCCAATCCATGTATGGAACCAGGGGAAATTTCCCATGTCTGGAATCTGCGTCAGACACGCATTTGGAAGGATGCGTGACTGTGTGAGATCAGCAGGAATTTCACGTCTGACTCAAAGAAATTACTCTGGTGGATGCCAAAATAAAAAAAAAATGTAGAACACCAAATATAAACATGTTCGATTCAAAACAAAATGTGCTACAAAATAAAATATAAATGGGAGTTCCATCCAAAAAAATTAAGAAAATGGTATATAAACTATGAAATTCTAAAAATCTGAAAAAAAAAGACACTCTTGTGCATGTATGAACATAGGATTGCTCATGTAAAAAATGAAATATACATCTTCGTTAGTCTTCTAATCACACACTATCAAATATTGCAGCTTTGTTTCCTTCCCTTGGAGGACATCAGAAAACCATCTTTCATTTCATCCATATTTCTGCTACAAAGTAAACATCAAATAAAACTTAACTCAAATGTCTTTATAGACAGAAAAAAAAGTAGAAAAATCATTACAGTGAACATGCTTGTTGCCACAGGCTATCTAAAAATGTTGAATTGCAAGACTAAGTAAACAAGGATTACCGTTTTATATTAAACATCTATACATTCCTGGTAGGTCCAGGTTTTTCGTGTTTGCAAATAGAAAGACCAAGTACTGACTAGTTGCTTGGTTTGTTCTCTTGGTTGCCTTGGGGTTCATTTTTAACAAAGCAACATACATAACTTAGAAATTTATCAGATCACTCGTTTCAGTTCAGAGAAATTGGTTTTGAAGAATAGTAGATTGGAATTATCCATCACAAACAAGTTCTTTTCTTATTTTCAACTAATATCTAATCCTTCAAAAACAAATAGCCAAAATAAACATTTGATAGAAAGACCAGGAACAATCAAAGGAACATTTTGTATTACTCTTTATATATAGGTCAAAGGGTGAAGAATTGCCAAGATACACTAAACAAGACGTCATCTGTCTTGTCTGCACACGCCAAATAAGCCAGCTAAAGAAATAACCGAACAAACCCTCAGGATGGGAAAAAGCCCGTGGGCTTGATTTTTTGGTGGGCCCATAATGTTAGACTCACAAGGACATATCTGCAATGAAATTTGATGGATAAACCTTCTCATCTTGAAGGCCGATATAGTCAGAGACCCATTATTTCACGGTACATGATGAAACGGCAGCAAGAAACACAAAATTCACATAATGGTATTCATGGAAAATGAACAACTTTCAAGACATTAAAGAAAGCCTTATAATTTTGTGACATTAGAATTTACTCAACAAAAGTAGCTAGCGCATCATGGAATCTGTTCAGATAGTGCTCTGCTAAGTGCTAAGAGTGTGCGCGCAGCTGCAGCAGCTACTTCTTTAGGTACCATCAATGGCACGGGCAAATTAACCGCACAGCATGTGGAATGGTTTCTGCTTTTCAAACCACGGCGCCGTTCATAAACCGACTCGGCTTCGCAGCCCCCCTGAGTCTCTGACGCCTAATTGTCACCAAGCACAGCTGTCTATTCTTTCCCAGGCTTCATCAGTACTCAGATGGCGAGATCACGTCGTCGATCTTGAGGATCATCTTCACCACCTGCGCGGCAAGTAAGATCAGTTGCTGCTTGCCAATCAGGGTCTCAAAGACGTTCTGCTCTTTCATGTCATTGGTGCCAACGTCATTGCAATCTATGCCACAACGGGGGTTGCTATCCTGAAAAGGTGTTCAGTAAACACATGTCACCACGGTTTCCAAGCAGTATACCTAAGCAGTAATGATTAACAGCAAGAATACCATACTGAAACACTACAAAGAGCATTGCGACCACAACAGAAGTGCTGAAACAATCACATTATGTAGTACTACTGTACTAGATCAGATTGTACAAGCGCACTTAATGGTGGAGAAAAAAAAGACAACGTTACACAAGGCCAAATTCAAACTACAAATCGAGTATGATCTGGATGACAAGTAAAAGGATCCAGAGCTATCACATAGTTTCAAGAGGCCACAGCAGCTATTAAAAATTTAAAGTAATATACTTGAAAAAAAAAGGAATACAGAATTAAAATACCTTCACTTGTTGAGCTTTCACCGCAGTTAAGGTATCAATAGGAGGCAAACCACTGTTTTCAGCTAAGGCTAGTGGAACAGCGTCCAATGCATCAGCAAATGACCTGATAGCATACTGCACATCAAAGAAACAGTCAGAAGGTACCATATTACATCGCAGCAAGTATAAGCTCCAAAGACAACAAGCACCTGCTCAACTCCAGGGTGCCGATCTGCTGCAGTTTCAACAGCAATTGAGCAAGATATCTCTGCCGAGCCACCACCATACACACTTGAGTTATTGCGGATCAGATTCCTTGCCACAAAGAGCATCATGAAGACTGCGCTTGGTCTCCTCAATCATCATTTTATTTCCTGTACAGCAGTAGATAGTTTTTACCACAAACCAAAATAAGGAAATATTTGTAGCTTTGTTGTCCAACAAATGATTTACCTACAAATCTTTCATTGCACAAAATTGTATACAATATTGGTTCCTGATGCAGCAGGATTAATACCACCAGTTATACAAGACAATCCTTGGTTTGAAAATTCAATCAGAATACTGATACAGCTACATAGCTCCCACTTTTTTTATTAATTTTTAGGATAGCATCCACTCTGTTAGATGATAGTCACTTTATTCAGAACAGCTGTGGAGTGTTTCCAAATCATATGAAATGTTGATGTTGATGTCTGATAAAGGAGGTGGGCATATGTATAGATGTTATATGAAAGCAAGAAAAAGGATACAAACATCAGAACATAGCACCACGAATGAAAATAGTTACAGCTCTGGAATTGGCACACTGCTCAATGTAAAGCATCCGGTCCTTGGTTGTTCCAAATGACTTCTCTCTGACTAATCCAGCCTATTCAAGCAGATCAATCAAAATGATGCTTCGCATAGCTATTTGCAATCCATAAAGATGCCTGCAGATTTTTTTTTATGTACTGTATTGTAGGCATTCAAATGGGATCAACACAATTTGATAAAAAAAGGCTAAACCAAACTGCTAAGCTACTAAGAGTGCCATTACAGTTGACCACATTGAAGTCAAGGATTCAATTTATTGACCAGTGATACTTAAATCACCTTCATAAACTCAGAAACCAGTTAAAAATCAGTAAATATCCTAACAATTCAACAATAAACAAGTACTTTTATCCAACAGATGAAATTGCTCACTTGTTTCCTGTCAGAAACAATAAAGGAGTTACTTATTATACACGAAAAAAATATCAATGCAATGCCCTGTCCCCAAGGATGATCTGTTCACTCTAGTTTGGGCACTACAATTGCATAATTGGACACCACATCGTCAAGATATGGTCAACTATGCAGGTTCCATATAACTGAAATAAAATGTGTGCAGAAGATGATACCTTCCCTAGCTTTTCTGGACTCAGCTCTTGAAATCTTGGAACAATCCATCCTCCTACAGTCAGTTTTCAAATATCAGGTATTGCATTCGCAGGTCAGTTATAATCAATTAATCATGAGTGAGCTATAGGAGCATGTGGACCTGTAGCAATGGCAATCAATTCCATTTCAACACCACCAACCCATCTGACAGCTGGCAGATTTCTGTGCATCAATAGATGATTGGCTTTATCATCAAAACCCCATTGACAAATAACCAGGGTTGCACCAACATCCTACAGAATATATGTGAATAGTTACTGAGCAAAGCAAACACACTGAATGACACAAATACGCTTGAATGCTTGATACACGCATAATACCTTATTTTGTAGTTGTAAAGGGAAATATTTCAAAGTTTTTGAAACATTTACAATAAAACAATTGTCGACAAATGAAAACTGGGCAATGTAACAATATAATTATTTCAATTGAGGATCTCGCATCCAAACCAATATAAGATCATTATCAGCCAGGTACCAAAAACTAGGATATTCACAACTAAATAGTTTAGTGCTTACCTTGCATTTCTGAACCATTTCATCAAAGTACTTCTGCTCTTGCCCACACAGCGTCTGGAATTTCTCTACAGTATCAATGTCAACCTTATGCTTTGTCTTAGGTGGAATTTCTCTACAGTATCAATGTCAACCTTATGCTTTGTCTTAGGTTTCGGGGGCTCAAATGGGCACGTCAGGATGGCTATCTTAGCATCCTCAATTCTCTTTGGCATTTGAGGGTGGCTCATATCTTTGTCAACGACAATTCCATATATTAGCTCTGTGTCCTCCAGCTTCCCACCGACCTTGCCTTCTACTTTGATTAAATCCAAGTTAACATCCTTCCTGTCCAAATCAGCAACCGCAAGGACTGCTTTGACAGCAATCTTTGCCAGTGCCCGCTTGCAACGGTGAACACTGTAGAAGAGGAATAGATACCATCAGACGTTCTGCTCTGTTTTTCTACAAAAATCTACCAACAAAGAAAGTATCATAAAGGAGTAGAAAAATATATTTTCTGGTATATGAGCATTACCTGCAACAAAAATCATACAAGGAGCAGAACTACAGAGCTGATAATGTGAAGAACAAAAGAAAAATCATTGCTGTATATATATATGAATCACCCAATGGTTGGGCGCGCAAACCAATGCAATCTGCTATCCTATTTCTGTTAGGTCAACACAGATAAAAGGAAGAAAACCAGAAAAAAGTTTCATGTGATTATGTCACATCCTCGGCAGACAGAAGTTTTTTACTTCAGAATAAAATAAATGACACAGGATACATACAGAAAAAAATAAACAAGTTAAAATTCATGATGCCAAAGAACCAATTCAGACTAGAAATTACTTAACAAAACCCTTGCATCATAAAGTTGACGGATTGAACAGAAGGTCCTGTATTATAACTTACATCTTTGACGACAGAGTCGTCATGCAGGTCTGAACCAGGGGCTCTATATTGTCTGCGCTGAATTCAAACTTTTGGGAGATGCGCTCAAGGTGATCAAAAGCTACCCTTGATGCCATCTCATAACCTTCGGCAACCCGTATCTGGTGAATATCACGCTCCAGAAGTTTCTCAGCCTGCTCTAGGAGTGCCCCAGCCATGACCACCACCCCAGTGGTACCATCCCCGATCTCATAGTCTTGACTACGGGACAGCTCCACCATCAGCTTTGCAATCTGGTTGTCAACATCCATCTGCTCCAGAATCGTGGCCCCATCATTTGCTGGCATGTCATAAGGCAGAACTTTCAGTGAGATGCCTTGTATCGTGTAAATAACTACAAAATGAACTTGTAAAACACAAAACTGGATTTGGCGAATTAACACCCAAAACCGAAACATTGCACATATCATAAACTGTCGGGAACCTCACTTGGGGGGGCCAGTTCGAGCAACTGTCCGGCAATAAGCTAGATCTCAAGACATTCACCCGCCACTCAAAAACCCTGGTTCTCAAAGGACTACCACTTCACCTGGGCCACCTGGGTCGATGATCCAAGGGCGGCGGGTCGTTCCCTCTCAGATCGCCCCATCCCGGTACACATGCTACACCACGACCAGCGTACACAATCATCCAATGAAGAAGGGAAGCAGATGCGTACTGATGGTGACGTCTCCGTCGGGGGACTGGAGCATCTTGTCCATGCCCTTGGGTCCGAGCGAGGTGCGGAGGATCCGCGCGACGGCCTTGCCGGCGGCGATGTTGGCCTTCTGCGCGTCGAGCCCGCGCAGGCGCGTCTTCTTCTCCTGCTCCCTGAGGATGATGAAGGGGCGCCCGAACTCGTCGAAGGCGAGCGCCATGGCTGCCGCTAGCGCGGTGCCGCTCGCTCCAGAAGGCGGAGGCGAGCAAGGGAAGTGGCGGCGCGGATGCAGGCAGGTGCGCGGAGGGAGAGGCGGAGTGTCACGGTGTTCGGCGCGAGGCCAAGGGTTTCCCTCTTCCTCTTTCTCCTTTTTTCTCCCCTCTTCCTGCAAAACCCTCTTCTCGGCACATGCCCATTCCATTGATTCGAGCCCAGTTCGTACAAACCCTCTTTCTCGGCCCCCTATCGTTTCGAGCCCACCTCGTGCTTTCCCCAGTTTCGGTGGGAAAAAAAAAGTTCCTACTACGGGGGTGTTCGGCTGGTATAGTTGTGGAGAAATTTTGATGGTTTGGATGAATTCTAGAGAAATTTGTGAGAGGAAAATACTGTTCCGGATGAAAAAAGAAGCGGATCAAGCCGGGTTTAAGGGCACGCGAACGGGGCCCAATTATAAACAATCGCTTGAATCCAGAATTCCTCCTCGTACCCCTAAAAAAAAGAATTCCTACTCGTAAACTACTAGATAAATACCCCTGTGTTGTTACTAAAATTTCAAACATAATTTATGCATATGGTTCTCGATGAAAATTAATTAAATTTAAAACTATACATTTGTATTACATAATGGTTTTGATTGTATCAGTCAATTTATGGCAAAATGGCACTCGATAAATGTTTGGGACATTTGAATGGTATACATACTAGAAAATTTACTCGGCATAAACCCTAGGAAGGAAGCAGAGCAAAATGATGCAAAAGCCAATATATAATTTACAGGACATTAATATTGAAGTGAGAGCAAATAACTCAATTTTAATTTAAAAAGAGATGAAATATAGGAATCCTACCATTGCATACGAACGAGGAAACATACTTCTTTACTAGGCTAGGGCCGTGGGGGGCATTTGTTTTTTTGAAAGGGCGTGGGGGCCATTTGTTGGTGCTTCTCCTCACGGGACAATTAGGGCGCAACACCAGTATAGGTGCCCTTGATACTTTTTTAGATAATGGATAAAATTAGGCTTCACACCTCTTTAAAAAAGAGGGATCAATGCAAAATTATTATAAAGTTTTGCTCACTCAACACGATGTGTGTTAACATTAATATCCAACATGGAAAATAAAAGGGCGTGGGAGGTGAAGAACTCCATCGACCTTGCTTCTAGTAACCGGCAAGAGCAAGGCCCTGTCTGGTTGAGCTGTGGCTTTTAGAAAAGCTACTGTGAGCTTTGGCTTTTAAAAAAAATAATGTAGATTATGAGTTGTAGCTTTTAAAAAAGCCGTTTGGTTCCACTTGCTGTGGCTTTTGAAAAAACACTGCCAGCAGACCCCACAGGTCCATGCATATTTCGGTGTTTTTTCTTTCCTGTGTCCTTTTTCTTCCTCAGATCGGCACTCCGGCGAGGGGCGGCGCTCCGGCGAGCAGGCCTGGGGGCGGCCGGCGAGGTGGCCACGGCGGGCGGCAACCCTAGTGGATGCTGCTGGGAGGCGCCGCTGGCCCGAGCAGGAAGGAAGAGAAGCTTCGTCACCGGTCGAAGCAGGGAGGCATCGCCTGGCTAGAGCAGGGAGGGAGGGAGGCCTCGCCGGATCTGGCCGGAGTAGGGAGGGAGGGAGGCTTGGTAGGAGCAAGGAGGAAGGGAGGCACCGCCGCCGTCGGAGGAGGAGCACGTCGCGTCCGCGCAACTGGAGGCCAAAGCAGGGAGGGAGGCCCGGCCGGATCTGGGCGAAGCAAGGAGGGAGGGAGGCGCCCGCCGTCGTAGGAGGAGCACATCGCGTCCACGCGACTAGAGGCCTAAGCAGGGAGGGAGGGAGGGAGCCCGCCGGAGGAGGAGCACGTTGGAGACTACTCCGGCGAGATGGCCGCTCTGGCGAGGTGGGTGCTCCGGAGCTCCTCTTCTTTCCTGCGGGCGTCGGGTCTGCGACATCGCGTCTCCTTTCGGTTCGCTTTCATATCGAGTGACAGGTGGGTAATTTTCAAACTCAAAAGCCTGTGAAAGCAAGGGTAAGGTGCTTTTGAATTTATACTACAGTAAAAACTCAACCGACCATAGTTTAGCTCTCATATCTCCCCTATGAAATCATAGTACGTCGCCTGCACGTTGTTGTTTTTGTCGTGATCATCAAAACAAACACCATTGTTTTGGTATGTGCTCTTTCCATCTTGTTTTTTTATGTAAAATGTAAATCCATTGATCTTATATCTGTTGGTATTTATTAACGTGTCACTTGTTTTAAGTAGCCACCTATTATAAACCTATATCTCCTAACATTACTTTATTAGGTTGTCATTCCTAGTGACGATGCCAAAGATGCTTATTGGTACTACACAACATTACTACTAGAATAATACTAAATAGTTCTTTATCACTTTATGTGACTAGAAAGAATATATAAATATATGATTAAAAAGGATCTGTAAGCGCACAAATAATATACCATTGTAGCACTTTACCCGAAAGTATTCGGTATCGTTATTTATATTTTTACCACAGGGAAGGTCTAGCATGGACATGTATTGATAACTTATACTATTGAATAAGAAATAAACCATAACCAATGTTCTACTCATAACAGGAGTAAGTCATAGAATAAGATATATAATAAGTATTAATCAATAATAATGATAAATCACTCAGAGTACTCATTTCTATGGTATTAGCATGGTCATGTAGAATATTAGAAGAATAATTCCTAAGTCATTCCTAACTAAAGTCAAAGCATACATTGATTAGTGCAATTTTACCTAGTAATCATTGCTAAGATCATCCTCATATCTACTCATAAGGGATATTACTAAGGAAGATTAAGAACAAAGCTTGATCTTCCTTCATAACCGGACCCTACATGTGCCTATATTCGGGGAGTGGACTACACAGGACTCAACGGGAGTGTCACATCCATGATCTACCACATGATCCAGAATATAGGGTGTATCCGAGATAAACAATGTATAAGCACCACGCTTACACAATGTCGACCACTCACCCCGTGCGCAGCGGAGCGAGTGCTATACGAACTTATGCATGGATATAATGATAAACTAGCTATACTAAGCATATAACCAAAGTAGACGATGAATATTATAATAAAGAACGTGAATAAGATGAATACTAATATTATCATAACAATTGTAACTAGCATATAAAAGTAATGGAGGTACAAAAGAGAGGGGGTACAAAGATTATACTGAATCACGCTCTTGACAAGATCAGGAATCCAAGCGAAGCCTGCTTGCCTCCCTCTAGACCTAGCCTAACTAGCTATGCCCTAGAATATGGTGGAGCTCTGAGGATGATTAGGGTTTTTGTCTTCTCAAATGACTTGTGCCTTCAGGGGGACATGGGCTGATATATATAGGCCGGAGCGTCCAACGTGAGCCCTTTGATCAAACTGACTTAAAGGACAACGTAGATGCAACCTAGAAGATAGTGAAGAACCGACATTGCAACGAGAGGCTGATAGGTGGGCCCCAGGGGTGGGGTGGCTTACAGGTGGGGCTGGCCAACCCCACCTGGCGGCGTCTCACCCTTCGCTTCGGTGTGGAGTCCTCTCGAGTCTTCTAGAGTCTTCTGGTGTCTGTTTTTACTATAGATAAGCGCAATTAAATCTGACATATAGGTCCACCTTGATGGTTTTCTAAATAAACCCTGCAGAAAATACAGATTCACCAAAACTTATAGAATTTATTAGTTTAAACCCCTAAACCTTCATTGGTGATTATATTTATGCCCTTATACATGTTATATTAATGGTTTATAATGGTTGTTAACTACCGTCAACAATACCCTTGGTACTTAAGCAACGTACTTGAAGGTCCCTTGGCGAAGATATCCAACTGATTACCCAACATTGTTCCAATCAAGCGGCGTCGCAACCAGTTGACAAATTCCTCATATGTTTTTTATCTAGCCAAGCCTATAACCTGCTCGGATACAAAGTTTGCAGCGATTGCCTATGCTCGTCAATGTTTGGCATCACATCCTTTGCTTGCTGGAGAACAGCGAACTACGCCTGTCTGAAAGAAACGGGGCCGTCTACTATGATAGATTTCTCCCTGATCGTTCCTTTGCCACCTAGTCTTCTTTTATGATGAGATTCTAGAACTCCGACCCTATTGATGTCTAGATAATATGTGCATAACTCAATGGTCTCCTTCGTTGACCATCCTTCAACCATGCTCCCTTCTGGCATGAATCTATTCCTAACATACCTCCTGAAAACTTTCATCAACCTTTCGAAAGGGAACATCTGATGCAGGCATATTGTGGCAAGGGCTCTAATTTAGTCAACAAGATGAACGAGCAGATGCATTGAGATGTCAAAGTAAGTCGGCAAGAAATGCATCTCAAGCCTAACGAGAGTTTCAGCTATGTCCCGCTACAGCTGGTCCAGCGTGGACACATCAATGACTTTTTTTAAGATCGCGTTGAAGAATGAGCATAGCTTTATGATTGGGGCACCGACCTTTGGGGGGAGGATACCACGTAGGGCAACAGGGAGCAGTTGAGTCATAATGACATGACAATCATGGGCCTTCATATAACCATAGTTGAACTTGAGTTCTCTCATGTTCCCTAGCCTCTTCGGGTTCGCACAGTAGCCCATCGAGACTTTGAGTTCATTAAAGAAAGAAATAAGCGCACGCTTTTCTTCCTTCTTCAAGGTCCATGACACAACCGAAAGTTCGAACTGGCCATCCTCTAGCGCCAAGGGATGCAGCTTCTTCCTGATTCCCAAGTGTTGCATATCCAGGTGTGTGGCTAGTGAATCCTTCGATGTCCCCCAGTATCCATCAAGCTGTTAAGCGTGTTATCACACACATTTTTAATAATATGCATGGGATCAAGACAGTGAAGTACACTTAGCACTGGCCAGTAAGGTAGTTTCCATAAAACCGATTTTTTCTTCCATATGCTCCCATCAGGCGCTGCTGCTGCATTGTCCCCCTTCCCAAGGACAACTTCTAGTTTGTTGACTTCTCAAAATATCGTAGGCCCGTCT